TAAAAAAAACTAGATGCACAATGCCATACAAAAGTTCTCTAAAAACTATCGCCAAATATTTTGACGTAATTCTAGTTGATATAAATATACATTAATGTAAATTCAACCTTAAGTGAAATGCCTAAATTTGTATTGACAAATCAACGTATAAAAAGCAATAAAATTTTACGACCGAAGCTCGTCGCTTGGACAAGGAGAGTGGAGTCGAACTGCACAATGTTGCAGAAGAAGAAACATACTTCTAAAAGAAGCCCTCTATTTGCTGACTCTCGTTCAAAGTATTCGTGCAACTTCAAAACCAAGTCAGCCGGCAACGCATCTGCAATTCCTCTGGTGTTGTGGTTGTTCATGGGCGGCGGTAATCACTTACCATCAGGTGAGCCGCATGCTCGTTTGCCCCTCTCTTATAAAAAAAAGTCACGACACTGGTTGTTAAGAGTACCTCCTCTTTTATGTATGTTGTCTAGTTCACACGATAACACCAAAATTACGTAATGCGTCATCAAAGTCCGGAATTAGCAAGCCAAGGTCAACGAATATAGCAGAAACAGTCCAAGAGTGATAGCCGAGTCAGAAAATATAATAATAACCAATAACACAAAAACTTTCAAGATAGCGAGAGACCACGCGAAGCATTGGCAATCAATGACGTAGAAAGAAATAATGGCGGTTAAAATACATTTTTTCAAAACCAAAGTATGAACTCCGTCTTTTTTAGCTAAACTGTTTCCAATATTAAAATATTAAATATCAAAAATAAAGCTCGAAATATATGGTCTGATATTGTTTTAATATGTTTAAATATTAAATAATACGTTTCTTTCTTTTCTAAATGTAAAAGTATCGATTTTTCAGAACCTCGGTTTTATTTGGTCAAAAAACGGTTTATAACGGTCACAACACTACGGCAACGAACCCAAAGATATAAGAGACATGTCATTGTAATAATGTCCTGTCGGAATATTAATCAACAATAATTTCGTGTTTTTGAGCGCATTTTTCTAATATAAAGTGAAATTTTGTGCTTACGAATGATACTTATTGTTATACAGTATGGATAACATAGTAATTATTTAACCTCTCAGACCTTGACATTTTATTGGACATATTTAGTTAGAACTATGGTCAAGCCAAAGAGTATAGTAGGTCAGGCCAGACGATTTTTTAAAAAAATGGTAAAAATAACTTAGAGTCATTACTATGTTCATATCCAAAAATAAAAAATTATCAACAATTAAAATATCGAATTATTTATATGAAGGTCAAGTGAGCGCTAGAGTGACGACGATTGCAAGACGATTTGTCGATAAATGAAATGTTTCGAGAAATTATCAATTACTGTGTAGTGGCGGTGTATGAATATTCATACTATTCCGTGGGTTTCGTAAGAGGCGACTGATCCACTGTTCAATACAACAAGGTACGTGTACCGTGGAACAGAACGTGGCAACTATGACAAGTATACCCTCTATGAGGAATATAGTGGAGGCCTATGTTCATTGGGGGTTTTTATAGGATGTAACGGTCCATCACCAGCAGTGGAATGAAACTGTAAGGAGAGGGAGGGATTAATTTTATTATTTAAAAAAATATTTTTGTGTTTTTTTTTTTTATAGAAGAGGGGGCAAACGAGCATGCGGCTCACCTGATGGTAAGTGACTACCGCCGCCCATGAACAACCGCAACACCAGGGGAATTGCAGATGCGTTGCCGGCCGTTTAGAAAGGTGTAAGCTCTTTTCTTGAAGGTCCCTAAGTCGTATCGGTCCGGAAAATCCGCCGGTGGTAAACAATTATGTGTAAAAAAGTCATCAAACAGCATCAAACAATTTATTAAACAAAAGTTGCGTAAACAAGTTCAATGGTTAAAACAATATTAAATAACAAAACCAAACAATTCTACTGAAAAGAAAAAAAAGTAAATATTATTTCACTTTTACAACTAAGGCAAATCTAACGAATCGCTATATTATGTTAAAATTCCATATATATACACATATATATATATATATATATATATATATATATATATATATATATATATATATATGTATATATATATATGTGTTAAAATCGAATAAATATTATGAAGAAAGAAACAAGGACATAGAAACACTTGATTTTCATAAAGAAAAGAAATATATAATATAATTATATCGATAAACTCAGTAGAAGCCTCAAAAAAAATTAAATCACAGGTATATACTTGTACATCCGTAAGATAGCGTAATAAAGTATATACTTTATTACGCTATCTTTGAGCAACGCCATTTTTCTAACGACTTCAAACAGGAGAAGGAAGTCGACTGTGTTTTTTTATGTGTGTTACCTCATAACCTTCTGGGTGAACTGATTTCGATGATTCTTTTTTTATTTGAAAGCTGGTGCTTCACATTCACATTTTTATTTTTAGTTATTGTTGAAAACAACTTCGCCATAATGTTCACTATATATCGAAATTATAACATAAAACGTAATTTTCGCGCATTGGACTTTGTGGGATATGAAAATTTGTGTTTATTACATGATTTATTGTGATAACTCACACTTTTTATTTACTTTTCAGTTAATTCTGGCTATTAAATATAGTGATACGTGAACGACACAGTATTTGAAATGGCAATTTTATAAAATAGGTATATGAAATTGTTACGAAGCAAAATATAAGGAATTAAATTTTTAAACAGTGTAATTACTTACCATTTGTATAAAAACTAACAAAAAACTTTCTATTGTACCCACTTAATTTTTTGTAAAATTTCTAGTTGCCTCTTACACTCACGCGGCGAAGGATATAAGACTAAAGTATGTGACGTAAACGCGACGCGAGGCGGAAACTCGTCATTTGAAGTAAATTCTGTTAATTTAAAGAAGCGTAATTTAATAACGAAACTAATTCTAATAAAATTTTAGTTTTATAGTTCATCTAAATAACATTTAAAAAATAATTGTTATGAGCACAATAACTATGGTTCTGACTAAATGTAGTGTAGTGATCATATACTCTTTGGTTCTGAGGGGTCCTTTCTAAATATTACCATACTCTTTGGAGAGTTCTACAAAGTTGACCTTGGATTGCCTCATGTGTACTTCAAAGGCTTGACAGATTAAGATTATGAATTTGATTTTTCGATTTCTTACGTAGACTTTCATACAAAGTTATCGCGGCATAATATGTAATGAGAAACGTCAAATCGGGCTTTTTAGATTGTCGCTAATATACATGGGCATGCAACTTAGAACATTATTTTATGAACAAAATGATACGTTTTATGTGCTTCCATCTACATTCCGAAACGCTAGGCTAGACTTGGTTTAATCTCACTAGAGGGCTCTTATATATTAAGTCTATGCATACGCAATAATCCACGCGCACTACGCAGTAACTAGCGGTTACTGGTTACGCTTAAATTGTTATTAATATTTATTGAACATTATTTATTTTTAGAAAATGCCATTTTATCTGTGTTTTCAGACAATAAAAAACTGTTAAAATATTATTAGAATACGAAGGTAAATTTCGCCACAACGTACAAGGTTATAATAGCTCAGGTGGATAATCGGGCGGTCCCGAATTCAAAGTTTCCACTTACAATTTTAGTTTGTCCCTATTTTTTTTAGGATTTATCCCTAAAATTCCCTAAACGATCTTAAAAAATCTTATTTTTAAGGAGCATATGTTTATTCGAGAAATTAAACAATAATTTATTTTTTTGAATATTTATTAATAAGTCAACAAAAGATCAATCACCAAAAATCAGATCAGACAGAAGATTTAAAAGCTGAAGCATTACTTTTGTAATGTTTTGCTGCACTTATCATGGCACTGTTGGGCTCTAAAATTGAGCAATTGTTTGCTTGCATTCCGAACTTTGTATGAAACAAGCCGTTCAGAGTTTAGTTAGAAAGTCTATTTCTTTTATCTGTTTTTACATTTTTTTGAATAATAAATAATTTTTCTACCTCAGTATTTGAAGATGGAACTGCTAGTAAAACTGAAATAACTACTTCAAGATTTTTGTAAATGAAACTGCCATGATAATATTTCATGATTAGAAGAACCTTATTCCAATAAATGTCAGCTGGCATGTTTTTTTAATTCTTTCAACTCCAAAATGCTTTAAGTTTATAAGAGCTTGATTTCTCCATTAGTTATCTGCTTTTTGCATGTTGCATTTTGTCGTCAAAACGTTAAATTTATCAAACACATCTTTCACGGATTGTTTCTCCAGATCAGAGTACAGGGGATTCCCTTTCAAATGAACCGCGGGTGGTGGCACCATAGAGTTTGTACATACTATAAGAGGGTTACCTTCATAAATTTTGATTTTTCCCCGAATTTCCCTAAATCCCTGTCTTATTAAAATAATCCCTAGTCATGTACAATTTCACTTAGTTTTCCCTAAAAAAGAGAAAAATCCCTAAAAGTGGTAACACTGCCCGAAATCTAAAGACCCCGGATCGCGTCCAGCAGATGTGTTTATTTTTTCTCTTTTTTTCAAGTTCCATCTTTTGTAAGCGCCGTCTGTTATGCAAAGCACGACACTGAAGAAAATTAAATTTGAGTCGCGCATCTATCTCTAGTAATATATACAGCCATCTATTCTATACTAGTATATTATTACAGTAATCTATGCCCCGCCTAAGGGTATTAGTGTTTTGTGAATCTATGCACAGAATACTATTACTCCTACGGAGGAATCTATGGCTCCACAAACTATATAGAGTATCCACTAAGTAGTCTGTGATAGAAACACTATATGCACGGCATGGAATCTTAGAACAAAAAAATTAGCCCTTATTTTCAACCATAGATAAACGGTAGTTTAGAATATGACATTTCTTATTACCACAGACTAAGTTTCAATGCCTTGTGCTTTCATTTTCAATTTTGAATTTTCATTACAGTTTTGGATTTGATCGAGTGAAGTTACGTTGAAGTGTTAAACTCCGTGCTTATCCTCTCACGTTCAAAATTGTGATACAAGTGTACCCTTCATCATGAAGAATACTTGTTGTGTTCCGCATTGCGAAAGCAAGCGTCGTAATTTTAAATTACATTGTTTTCCAAAGACTGAGATAGGACTCAAGTGGGTGGAAAAAATTAATTGTGAAAAATTAAAGCAGCTCAGTGCAGAAGAACTACATAAGTTTTTTGTGTGTCACAAGCACTTCGAGGCGAGATTTGTTACCGGCAGTTTGCGTCTTCGCCATTTTGCTTATCCCACCTTATTTACGGCTGACGAAATAAATACTGGAATACCTGCTCTGGAAATGGAAAACTATGGTAATCTACTTATTTTCCTATTAGGGATGCCTTCTTTGATGTTGTATTTTTAGTATAATTCTGCATAACTCTTCATAACAAAGCTCTTGCAGAATAATCAGCCAATATCACTGAAATAATTGTCAATCCTAATTTAAATTTTGTTATCTAACTAAAATCCATTATAGCTAAACTGTTTTATTAGTTATTATTACATTTAAGTCTACAAGTGCCATTTTTTAATGAAATCATGTATTTAAGATTGTGGTTGCATTGTTCACTTAGATAGGGAAAACATATTAATGAATTAACTGAAAAATTGTATAAATATAATAACACTCTTAAAACTTTTCATTTCTATAATAAGACCTTTTTATTGCTTTTACAACTTTTAGCCTTACTGGTAATATGTCAAATGTCATCGAAAAACAGTTCCTACAATGCATCTCTAAATGTGAGATATTAACTTAATTTATATTCCTGATGTTTCAAGTACTTTACAGCAGCACCCATGGTCACGGGGGGACTGAGGTGTTTGAAGTCCCAATGTCATAGTTAACCATGGTTACCTCCAGATTAAAAATTATTAAAGTTTTTACTATCATTCTTCTTACGTGCAATGTCACTCTGCAAGATGCTCCTGCATCTTGCAGAGTGACATTGCACTTAAGAAGAAGTGTACAAGCTTGATTTGTGAATGTGGTCTCTCTTATATAGGACAAGCTAAAAGATCAATAAAAACCCACATTAAAGAACACATAGCTGATGTTAAGAATCCACGCTCTGGGAAGTCTGCAGTCTGTGAACTCATACAGGATCGCCCCCATTACTACATTAGATTTGATGACCACAAATCCTCTCTATAGAACACCGATTCCTTCCAAGGATGTTTCGCAAGGCTATTGAAATCAAAATCCTCAGGACAATACACGGTTTTGTGTCTTTGTTAGGCTGTAACGAATGCATGAATTTATCTCTAATGGTTTGTTTTATTCAAATCCTTTTTATTTCAGAAAACCAAAATGTTTTTTATGATCATGATTATACACAAGCACGAAAAAGACACCATGAAGATCATTCCTACTTCAAAACACAACCTTTGAAATCACAAGGTACTTTTTTCTATCTTTTCTTTACACTCAGCAGAACAGTTGTGCATTAATGCATTTTAATGGTTTAGGGGAAAGAGATCATTATTAAACCTAGAATAATGATGTAAACTGTTAAAATTTAACATAACAATTAATGAAATATTTATATATAATTTAAAAATTTAAAGCCATCATTAAGATGACAGCAACTTCTGCTGTCCTATTATTACATTAACTTTGTTGACATCACAATGATAGTCACTTTGTTGTTCATTGTGTCATTTATTTCACGAGCTATAGTGGTAGCTCTTAATATATATACCACACAACTACTATCTGATGTGACTATCATTTTGATGGCAGAAATTTTAAGGATTTTGCCTGCTGTTCACCGTTAACTATGAAAAAAATATTTGTTTCCAGATTACAATGAACCACCATCCATCTATAAACATTTTAAAATGACAGAAAAAATAGCAGTGTGTCTACATCATGACAAAACTGGTAAATATAATTGTAAAAATCATAAAAATCTTCATAAATTCTTCTAAAAATACAGTAATAATTTTTTAAAGAAATTAGGCAAAATTATTTTAACTTTTATAATGATTCAATTGTCATGCTTTAAGTTTATACATTAAGTTTAAATTATTTTTATGTTTTAGCCAATATGCCATCTACTAGTAAGGACTTTGAAAAAACTGCTTGTGACCAAAACAATCAACAACCGATAATACCAGGTAACTCAACTGTTTATTTATATATTTTTTTAAATATAAGCCAGCTCTTAACTACAATCCCACCTGATGGTAAGTGGTGATGTTGTAGCCTAAGATGGTGAAGCACACTGACTTAACAAAAGCTTATTCACTCTTGCCTTGAAGACACCCAGATTGTAATCAAATGGAAAAACAGATGCTGGCTACTTATTCCACTCCTTTGCTGGACGCATGAAGAATGATGTGTAGCACACTTTCCGACATGCATCCTGTAGAAAACCGTAAGGCTGGCTACTTTGCGCCTGTGTTCGAGGCTAGTTAGATTTGTTTTAACCAAATTCAAGTCACCAATAAGCTTCTTAGCATGCCTTTCGATTGAGTCAATTTTATTTATTTGTATATATTAATGTCATATTTTATAGATTGTTATTATTGAAATTTTAAGTAGTAAATTTTATGTTGTGCAGATTTGCCGCAATGTAGTAATGTGGTGACATCTAAAAAGTGCATCCGGAAGAATACTACAAGGAATAAAAAATTTTCACCATCATATTTGAGAATATTGAATGAGTTAAAAAAAGCTAAAAAACAGTTAAGTTTTGCTAAAAGAGCCAAAAGGGCTATGAAGTTTTCTAAAAAGGAAAACTTTGAAAAATTAACTTGTAACTTGAAACCCCTTGCGAAAAAAATTATATGGATGCAAATAATGCAAAGTGGAAAACATTCAAGGGTGGAGATTCTCTGATGAGGAAAAAATGATTGCACTTGCTATAATGAAACAAAGCCCAAAAAGCTACAGATTTTTACGAAGAATATTCATTCTTCCCTCCATAAGGACAATTAATAAATTAATTAATAAGTTGAAAATGGATTCGGGAATAAATCCTCATATATTCAAAGCGATTAAAACTGAGGTATACTGTTTCCTTAAACACTCATTTTTGTGTTAAATATATTATTATGTTAAGTTAATTACCTAATGTTTTTTATTCCTAGGTTGTAAATTGGCAAGAATCGAAAAAATATTGCTCGCTAATATTTGATGAAGTTTCGATAGAGCCAGGTCTTACATATGACAAATACAATGACAATATCTGTGGGCTTGTAGAGTTACTGTCAAAAACCTGTGACTATGCTGACCATGCCTTAGTGTTCCTCATTCGAGGTGCTGTACACAAATGGCAACAGCCTATTGCCTTTTATTTTTGTAAAGGAACTACACCTGCACTTATATTAAAAAATATAATAGAGCAAGTGACAGAAGAAATAATAAAAACTGGATTAATTCCTGTGGCTTTGATATCAGACCAGGGAACTTCATTCCAGTCAGCTATTAATAAGTTGAAGGAAGATACAAGAAAAAAACAAATATTGGCAAAGGAAAATACTGGTAAGATAATTGAATGAAAGGTTTAAAGCCACAAATTAAAGTTCTTAATAAAGTGCTAAAATTATCAGTAATGCATTTTTATACTTTTAATTGCCTATTAACCAAATTTTTGTTTTCATTTCAGACGACACAATCATAATAAGAGGTCAAAAGATTAATGTGATATTTGATCCTCCGCACCTCATTAAAGGACTAAGAAACAATTTTCTTGACAAAAATATATTATTGAATGGGAAAACATCAAAATGGAATGACATTGTAGATGTTTATTTAACAGACTGCAAACATGCAGAAATGCGTTTGCTGCATAAGTTAAATGATGAACATGTCATTCCTCAGAAAATAAAAAAAATGAAGGTAAGCCTACCAATATAAGAAAATAAATTATCATTAACAATTTTATACCTTTCAGTGTAAATTAAAATGTTGATCTATTACTATTTTATGTAAATACAGTTTTGGAATAAAGCCAAAATAATTAATATTAACATTTGGTCTTTCAGGTGAAAAACTGCAGTCGTGTGTTAAGCAAGACTGTTGCAGGAGCCTTGGCATACACATCACAATTTTGTAAGTTTGTTGATCTAAATATTATTATTTTATTCTAATTTATATTTGACCTAAAATAAGGGGGAATCTATCAAACTTTTCACCAAATTCCAACATCACCTGCATGAAGTGACCTGCTTACTAAATAAATAGTGCTTTAGCAACGCACTACTGTAGGTAATTCATTTACATTAGCAGAACCGAAAATATCACAACTTGATGATGGGAGAGTGTATTGCGGTTATTGGCTCATTCTAACATCGTCATATTATCATCGTCATTATAGCCTCATTATAAGTCCACTGCTGAACATAGGCCTTACACGAGGAATGCCGTCATACACAGACCTCCCCCATGTGCACCCATCATTTTCCTGTATGTCTTATCAGGTTAACACCTTAGTGGGGGGCCGTCTTACGATTTGCTTACTGGTATGCGGCTACTACTGGAGAACCTTTTGAATTCACTGATAAATGAAGTTCTAAATTTAGCAGAGGATATAGATGTAGAAAGTTGCTATTTGTTTATTTTACTTTTTTATACTTTTTTTGCATACAATATTATATTACATAAACACTGACAACAAACTATATACAAAATGTAGAATTAGCCGGCCTTAATACTAAACAGTGATCTGTTCCAGGAAGAACTATTGAAAAAGAGATTATTTTTATTAAAACATATAAAGGTGCATGAATACATATAAGCTGTATTATGTAGAATATAAAAATAAAGATAACAATTTTTGCAGTGACTTAGGATTTCTATGACTAACATCATATTTATTTTTATTTTACAGCCCACTATGCTGATGGCAAAGCTGTAAGCTCAACATTAAAAAATACTTCAGAAGTTGTGTCATTTTTCGATGATTTATTTGATTCGTGTAATGGGGCAGCTCTTACACGGAAAAACAAAGGGAAGCCCTTAAGGCAAGCTGTAACGAACTCATCGGAGCACGAAATTTTTTGGAAAAATTCCATAAAAAAATTAGAAGGAATGAGATTTATCAATAAAGAGGGCAAGGAGTGTATTGTGCCCTCTCAAAAAAATTATGTTGTGACATTAAAAAGTTTAACTAGATTGTGGCGCTTCTTTAAAGAAAAGGGTTTAAAAATTATGCGCCCAAGGTACTTCAATTCTGACCCAATTGAAAACTTTTTTGGACAAATGCGGGCATATAGTTTTAGAAGCAATGACCCAAATTGTCAAGCATTTAAAAATATATTTCGCTCCTTGTTAGTTACCAGATTCATTAATTTTCATTCAGAAAATTATAATTGTGAGGAGACTTCGGGAGAACAAATAATAAAATTAAAAAAATTATTAGAGGCACCACAAGTTTGTGAAACCCAGATGCCTCTGTCAAGTTCTAATGTAATAATCTCTCCCGAAGACATGAAAAATATTCAAGTAGAAGCTCGAAAAGAAAGACTCAGTGTACACTCTCGTGCATATACTGCGGGATGGGTTGTGAAAAAATGTTTAAAAATAATTAAATGTAACAATTGTAAAAACTGTTTAACCCAAAATAATGAGTCGTCAGTCCACCAATGGATTTCTCACAGGGAGTACAGAAACTTGAAAAAAAAAACAAAAATTAACCTATCCCTCAGAATATGCAGTGAGGTATTTTTCAAACATTGTAAAAGAAACAAACGAATATTTGGAATTGAAACCAAATAGTTATGAAATTTCAAAAAAAATAGCACATAAAATTAAATCCAAATATTCGTTTGATTTCTTAACATGCCGGAGTCATAAACAAGCTCTTCTAGAATATTTTGTCTCCATTACAATTAAATTATGTATATGGAACTGGTGTAACATAGTGGATAAAATCTTAAAAGGGTTGGATATTGTCAGATTAAAATTACATAAGCAATTGCCGCATATGCAAGATAAAGCTTATAAAAAATTTCAAAAGAAATTAAAAAATAAAAACTTAAATAAGTAAAATAACAGTTGTTTTATTTTTGTATTATATTTTCAAATTTTTGAATGGTGAATAGCTGTGAGGCGAATGAAATAAGGCTTTATCTATAATGTACTTTCGTCTTATAACTAAAAAATTAAAAAGTAACGACAAAAGGCTTTATCAATGATGTACTTTTGCCTAATACCTAAAAAATTTGAAAGTAAACAAATGTCAAACTCTAAACTACCGTGTCCGTATTGGTTGTTCTAAGATTCCCGTCTGATACGTAGTATCCACTAAGTAGCCGTAGTATCCACTAAGTAGTCTGTGACTATATGGCTCTCAGACAGCTTCGTAATGTTAGCAAGTCCAAAAATTAGAATTAGACGAGGTTTTACAGGGACATGTAGAATCGTTTGCTCATTAAGAATAAACGAAAAAAATAATTATTCGTGTCACCCCTGCAGATTTACGACCCTTCGAAGACGCTTGCTAGAAATTTTATAAAATAGTCATTTTTTAATGGTTTTAAGGCACCAAAGTGAAAATATTCATGCACAGAACGTTTGCGCGTTATTTTCTCGTTCCAGAAGTATAATTACTTTCTCAGAAAAATGCATAATAACTGATTTTCACGATATCATTATTTTTCGCACCCCCAGCCTACGCAAGCATGCGAGTCTGCAATTGCGCGGCGCGCGTCACGCAGCGCACTGTGGCCTGTGGGAAGTATCAAATGTGAAATCAACTTATTGTTTACACTCACAATCCAGGGTTTTCTGTCTCATCAATTTGACAGTTGGATACCAGGCTCACTACACGATTGAGATCTCGTACAATGAAAGCGTAATTAGAAATTCTTAACAACTTATTGCTTCAGAGTGTAGAGCAAAACAATGCAGCTCCAATATCAAATCAGGATCTAAATCATTCTTGTATTTACAGAGGTACCAAGCCACGCAATACAACTTTTATTTATTTTATTTATTATAGAGTCTATTTGGAAAATCATTTAACTAAATATTTGTTCTTTCTGATACAACAAAATTTCATGGTCAAAGATGAAACTGTCCTTCATAATATTCCATACATGGGTGATGAGATCCTTGATCAAGATGGGACCTTTATCGAAAAATTAATAAAAAATTATGATGATAAAGTACATGGCGAGCGTGAGTCAGGATTTATGGATCACTCTATTTTTGTGGATCTTGTAAAGGCGTTAGTTTCCTATGAAAAGGATGACAAAGAAAAAGATACAAATCCTACAAAGAATTTCAAAGAATCAAAAGACGAAGATGAAAAAGAAGATTCTTACAGTACAACTTTTTTATAGTAAATATAACTTTTTTGAAATTTCTTTTAAAATATCTAGTCGACTAGATTTTCATGTTACTTTATGTTTGTAGGCAGTATCTCAAATGTTTCCTAACAAAGGAAAACCAGAAGAATTAAAAGAAAAGTACGTTGAACTGACAGAAAGGTCTGATCTAAATGCTCTACCTCCACAATGTACTCCAAATATCGATGGTGCTACTATAAATAATGCTAATTATAAATTAATAATAAACATTGTTCTATATGATACGTTCTCGTTAAACTTTTTTGATCGCACATATTGATATCAATCTGTACAATATGATCATGGAATAAATTTGTTCTTCTACTCAACATTTCAATTATTATTATTTTATTATAATTTTTTTCAATTAGATCATCTTTATCTAAATTAAAATAAACGTTGGTTTTTATATTATTTTCATTAATTCTCATAAATTAGATAATTAGATATCAATATATTGTATTTGGTATATATTTCCAGACTTTGAATGACAGTTGTCGGAATTTTACCTAGAGTATAATTAAGTATGCTATTCTTCTGCTAATC